ATGAATAGATGACTTTAGGAGGGGTCTGTACAAACCCCTCTGTTCAAATACAGTGATCTCTAATAACAACTGTACTACTGTTAATGCAACTGTTCAGTTACACCATTGTGGTGATCAGAACCGACGCTTTATTCTCTTCACTGTACTCATGGTTTTGGCACAGTGCATCACAGCTGGATATGATGCTGTATTCATCTTGTATTTACCGGTCGTAATGAAGCAGCAAAATTCTGTGATGTCTCATATATCAAATTTGCTTGTTTCAGTTTAAAGGGCAAATATTGATTCTCAGTTTCATTAAATGTCAGCGTTTCATAGCACTCTTTCTGATCTAATTTCTTTCACTCCGCAGTAATACAATCAAAGCTTTTTACAGCGTGTGGTGATGCATGCAAGGATGAAAGCTATTTGAAGATTAAAGCAAACAGATTATAGTTTGTGTAATATTTTCTTTGCTAAAACGTTGTGTTTTGAGACATGATATGGAGCTCGACTTTCATTTTTCCCTGTAGATTTGGCTTTCTTCGCTTCACTATGAGGCTAATGTATTTAAAATGTAACGGAAGCTTATAGCCACGAGGTTAGCACTGTTAGCAATGTGTTAGAAAATCATCACATATGGTTTCTGACACTGTCTGACATACTGTTAACTATAAAAAGGAATAAAGTTGTCAGAAACTGCATAAGCAAGTCTGGACTACTTAACAACTCAACACAGTTTGAGGCAAATGTGAAGTTTAGACTAATGCTGATTGGTTTAATATATTACGCTGTTGTCGTAAGAAAACCTTGTATCTCCAAAATGGTAGCTTTACAGGAGAAGGAAAAAACCTACTTTAGTTTCAATGTAAGTCAATGGAACCAGACTTTTTTTCCAAGTCATTTCGGGCCATTTCTTTTGGTCCATTCAGTATGAAATTTATACACAACGTAAAGAGAAATCATTTTCAAACTATGCCAAAAACTGAAAAACAACAAGAGTGGAGACACGAGGCTTTGTTCCTACAGCAGTGATAAGCTTCTATTACTTCTTAGACATATTAGTCTCATAGCTTCAGTGCAGATTTAAAAACAAACACGCCTGGACTGATCAGCTACATTTGGCAGAGAGACTGTGAGGACTTGCTTGTACATAAAAGACGTCTCACTTTTGTCAATTAAATCAACTACAACTAGCCAGTCTAACTTACTGTTTTCTTGCTAATGCTTAAGCTTCAGCCTGGAGGCTTTCAAGGACAGTGTTTATAGCCAAAATGGTCTGTCAGCTTGTCCTAACAGCAAATGATATGTCATTATCAAAACTTGGATGTTTAAAGCCCTGTGAGGAGATGGCTTTTAAATGGATCAGTGTTAGCTTACTCAATCTATATGCATCATTAAAACAGGCCTTCTAGGGATTTAAATCATTTATATAATGACGATAGTGAACAAAGAAACAGAACAAAGTAAAAACATCTCACTTTTGCTGTTCATTTGCAATGAGAAACATGAAAAGCATTGCCAAAGCTAACTTCAGAAGCCTGAGAAAGGAACTGATGTTCTTGATTGGGTCTTTAAACGACATAGCCGGTGTTGTCAGAAGCTATGATTTCATCCTTTGTAACAAAAGTGGTCTAAATATAATACCGCTGCAATATGACAGTCTCTTCATTAGGTCATCCCTCTGCAAATTCAAGTTGACGTCGGACTTTATTTTTATTCCTTTTGGACTGCTCAGCTCGCGGCGGCACTCTCTTTTCCAGGAACTTACCCTCCTCCGGTCGTGCGCTCGGAGCAAAATATGATACTGATGCACATTTGCTCTTCTTGAAGTGTCTCATGCAATCATCTAAACTCAGCAGACTTCTTTTCAGTTCAGGTTTACTGGCTTGGAGAATAAATCGCTAACTACAGCCCACCCCCGTCCAAAACGCTCCCCCACCACAAATGTCATCCTCCGAATCGCACAAAGATGTCCTTTAGGGTAAACGGTGGAGATTTTAACTCCGCGTGATGGTTTCGGTGGAAACGAGGCAGCAGTGTTTGTGTGAAGCTTTGAGACTAGCAGAGAGTGACTAACTCTGACTGCCTCCCTCGCAACATATTTTCTTATCTTCTTCTATGTGTCGAGACGCTTGTTAGCTTTCAAACAACTCAGTTTTGGATCCCGCAAATGAAAACAAACATGAAACAATGCCCACTGGAGCAGAAACTTCACTACCAGAAATGAAGTTGTTGCAGGAAATGTTTCTTGGATGAAGAAGGAAAGAAAACATGTCCTCTTTCACACTTGAGGACTTGGATTAAACATCTTCACTTCTCTTAAAAATAAAGGGTTGTTTGGAGTGAATGTTGTAGAAGAACCAGCCTTTCAGTGGATAGTTCTTTAAAGAAATTAGATGAAGAACCTTTTTTTAAGGTTTAAAGAAACATTTTTAAAGGTTCTGTGTGAATACATCCAAGCCAAGGACAGTCTAGGAACCTTATTTATATCCTGTATTTTTAAGTAATAAGTAAAAAGTAAAAATGTAGTGTATAAACATGAGAGTAGACCACTTATTGCATTCTGTACCAATATGTCCAAGCCAAGATCCATTTAGTAACCTTTGTTTTTAAGAGCGGACATATAAAATACAGGGTATAAATACAAGAATGGACCATTACATTCCAACAAACTCTAACATTGTTACCCAAACTAAACCAAATCAAACTGCTAAGCAAACTGTAGGAGGTTATCATAAGTTATTTCTTGTCCTTTGTCTGTTTACTCACTGGACCATAAGAAGTCCCCTCATATATTTAAGGGAACAACATCTATTTTGTATGTCATTTCTCAGCATACATAAAGACATTGCCTGCATGCACTATATTGCATATAACTGATGTTATTCTAACATATTTTTATATTTTAACAGGAAAATGAAACAGCAGCACTTTATATGTATTGAAAAACTTAACTCAAGCTTATATATAGCAGAATAAAGTGACTAAAGTGGTAAATGGTTGCAGATAAACACATATTCGGGCCTAAGAACATGTACAGAATGTACTGATATTTTGATGTTAGTAATATTTTGTACAGTTTACTTGCAGACTTTATAGGAAGTAAAAATATTAAGAGACTGGGAAGACTTCATTTGAAGGCCACCTTCATAGAGACATTGAATAACATATTTATAAAGCAATATTTGAACTTTTGTGAACAGCAGATAATTTAATATGTTTTATAAAGCAAATGATCTGAACTAAAGTGACAGACATTTCTTCCATTCATAACACTGTTATGTAGCATCATGTCAAAGCAATGGAACTCGTCAGGCAGAGGCATTATTGCAATTACTGGCATAAGCTGTTCATAAATTCTATTATTATTATTGCTTTATAAAAATATTATTCAATGCTTATGCATCTGGGATGAAGTCTCTATGAGGACTTCAAATATAGTGTTACCAAGAAATGTTAGATGTATCCACAACAGAGCTGTAGATGATTCTATTTCATCATAACTGAGAAAACTAAAAGGTCAAGAATGAAATTGTAATAAAACTACCATCTAGAATGCCTGACATGACAAGTGACTGTATTTTGAGTGGTAATATACATGCTTATCTATGTTAACCCCTTAAAATCTCAGGCTTATTACTTACTAAGGCTTATTATTCAGTAACTACAGGGACTTAAATGCAAACTGGTTGAGCTATTCTTAGGTTATAGAAGTGTGTAATAAACTTTGCCATTTAAGGGGTTAAAGAAACAGTTTACTTCTTACTGAAAAATCAAATTTACACAGTTTTCCCCTTGACCCCATATTTAGTCATTTGGCTGAGATGTGGGCTGTGTTCAAACTGCAGGCAAATTGGATTTGTTTCTCAAATCAGATCTTTTGAGACAACGGTCCTCAATGTAATTTGCAAGTGATCAGATCGGATTTGTGTGTCCAGCCATTGGTTGCAGTGGTTACAGTGTAGGCGTCAATAACTCGGATTTCAATCACAGATGCAGAAGAGATGGAGGTGCATCATCTCGCCCTCCAAACTCTTCAAAATTCTTTGAACAGATGGTGATTTTCTTGAATGCCAGCACTCTTTGGTTCTTTGGTAAAGGCAATTGACCTATTTAGAACCATGAGTTCTATATAGAGCTTAAATGGTTATCTGGGTGGTAAAATAGTTCTTTGGATTGGTAGAGAATGTGTTGTACATGATTCTATATAGCACCAAAAAGGTTATTTTATTGTTATGATGTCAAGCTTGTAACAATAGAAGAACTCTTTTTTGTGCTATATGGAACCACTGGATACTTAGTGTACAGACTAACTAGCCATTTCAACTTGTTGTAGATCTGTGAGAGGTTTTTAGAAGGGTTTCACACTAGTTAGCCCACTGTAGCTGCTTTACTTGAACCCTGCTACATAATATTGATATAACCATGCCACGAACATGTCATGGTGGACATCATGTGCTGTAATGAGTTGTCATGACAGGTTTAGTTCAGTAATCTAACAGTATCATCTTACCATTACTGGTAATTGTCATGATGCTGTAATGGTTGATAACTGAAAGAATTGAAGATCGGAGAATTGACTCGCACTCCAGAGACTCAAGGTGTTTTTGACTGACAAAAAAAATCTTCTGTTATATTAGCTTTTGTAGCTTAACTGCAAAACTAAAACTACTAAAAACTTCAGACACCACACTCGGCTGATGATGTCTTGGCTGATGAAGTACATTTGAAGTCAGGAGGAAATTGTCTGATTTTTCAGTAAACCATTCCTTTAACATTCACTTCTCAATGTTTTCTCAATAATTTTCCAACAGTGAATAAACTGCATGCAAGCTTTTCATATACTGGCACTACTTCTCTATCTTGTCTTATCTACTTGTATTTGTCCCTTGGCCAGCAATGGAGAGTGCTTGCTATCATTTACTGCACTACTTACTGTCACTTTCTGTTTTCTGTCTTTCTTATCTGAACATCAGAGGACGTGTTTTATAATATGGGTGATTTTTACTTCTGTTTAGCTCCAGAAACATGACAAAGACTCTGAAGATGTTCCCTCCAAATGGAGATCGGAGGAAGAGATGGCAAAAGAAGCGACAGAGCTGAGGGGCCTCTTTAGTTAACTTCCTCTGGTAAACACATCTATAATATATAAAAACTGGCAATGACAAACTGGCAGTGACAAACCATGGTTGTTTGTTATTGCCATTTACACTAACTGAGCATTTTATTAGGTACACCTATCTTGTATCTACACTCATTGTCCATTTTATCAGCTCTGCTTACCATGTAGATACTTTGTAGTTCAACAATTACAGATTGTAGCTCATCTGTTTCTCTGCAGAGTTTATCTCACCTTTACCCAATCTAACCACTGATTGAGAGACTAGCCAAGACTAACATAAACAGTGCAGCAACAGATGAGCTACTGTCTCTGACTTTACATCTATAAGGTGTACAAGTATCTAATATAGTGTATCTAATAGAGTGGACAGTAAGTGGACACAGTGTTTAAAAACTCCAGCAGCACTGCTGTGTCTGAACCACTCATACCAACGCAACACACACTAACATGCCGCCACCACGTCAGTGTCACTGAAGCGCTGAGAACGATCTGCCACCCAAATAATACCTGCTCTGTGGTGGTCTGGTGGGGTCCTGACCATTGCTGAATGGGGTAAAGGTGGGATAACAAACTATGCAAAGAAACAGATGGACTACATTCTGTAATTGTCGAACTACAAAGTGCACCTATATTGTAAGTGGAGCTCATAAAATGAGTGTAGAAACAAGGTAGATGTACCTAATAAAGTGCTCAGTGAGTGTAGATTTGATATGCATGCATGTTTCTAATATAAGTCTTTATAGCAGCTGTTAATTAGTATCATTGTTTTTTTGTTTTTTTTCCCAACAGACTCTGCACTTGCTAAAGAAAAGCTATGGTGATTTTACATGAAGATTTAGCATCAACTTTTTATTTGTAATCACACACACACACACACACACACACACACACACACACATTATCTAAGCCACTTATCCTCCTGGGTTGCGGGGGGTTCTGGAGCCTACCCCAGCAGTCACTGGGTGAAAGGCAGGAAACATCCTGGACAGGTCGCCAGTCCATCGCAGGGCTTATTTGCAATAATAATAAAGCTGAATTTTACTTCTGCAAGAAAGTGTGTAATTGCACTCTTTTTCCTTTTATTCATTTTTGGATGAAAATTATATATTTACTTAAACATTTTTCCTTAAAAGTACAGTTTGGTGGGGAAGCCTCAGGGCATTCTAGTGTTTTTGTGAAATAAAAAAAATATATGTCTGCGATATAGTCAAGACCCCTGCAAGCATCATAGTACTCTTATTTCAATGGTAAGTCTGATGGGGAAAAGGGGTTAAATTCTTGAAATGCTGAATGGTAAATTATACAGTATCTTGGTAGATACAGATATGGGTTAGGCTTCAGAAACTGGATAACACGATTGGTAACTGACAGTGGAACCAACAATTAAGCTTTGATTTCTAATGGGTGGGACCAGCTCTGGGTCTTCTGGACGTTAGATACATCCCTGACTGTGATGAATTTCAGTCAGTTGTCAGAAATGGAAAACAGCAGAAGATCCTCATCAGGGCCCTTTATTAAAAGTCACTTTAAAACTGCTATGAGGTTAAATAATATGCTGGTTTCAAGCTTTAAATAAAACACGGAAGACCTTTACAAGCTTCTAATATACATAATAATCTAGAATTGCTAAAAATGTTCCTGTGAAGTACTGTTAGCTTAGCACTAATATAGTACTAGAATCCCATAGGGGTTCCAGAGGAAATTAGCATTAGGTGTTTTGTTTCTGACAGAGTTCATGATGCAAATGAATGCCTGGCTTTAATAGTTACTGGTCTGGTTAGCTTTTTGGATGTCTGGCATGATTATGTCAGTATTATGTAGCAGCTAGCAATATTATGTAACATTAGCACTAATAATGCTAATATTAGCAATAGTCTGTAATTAGCCTGTAATTAGCATTATTGCAAGAGCTACTGATACACATAAGACTTGCCTGTGTAGTCCCCTCACACCAACAATATAAAAGTCAATACTACACTTTATGAAATGGTAGCACAATAACAGGTAACACAGTGTCTAGTGACACAGTTACTTGTTATACAGTAACAAATAACACAGGTAAACACAGGTATACACAGTAACTTCAAATGAAAGGCATGTCTCTCTGATCTTCATTTGAACTGCATTAAATTCCACAGTTTGAAATCCCCTTTTCTAACATACGATACATATAATAATGACAATAAAAGTATATGTTAGCATATACAATGTTTTAAAAGGGTGACCAGAGTGGCTAGTTCCTGCCTGCTAAAACTGGTGCTATTGGCAATCTGGGGAATGATTGTTCGATCTCTCTTCAACCCGCACCCCACCCCGTCTCACAGATTCACACTGCCACCCTGCCGAAACTCTCTGCCACCCTTTTGCCACCCCTGGTAAAATTTTCTAGATCCACCACTGATAACTATAACAATAACAAACCACAACTTTTTCTGCAGCTGATGACTTTGCTGGTGACACAAACCTATCTGGCTAGTGTAGGTCATCAACATAGCAGGTGTCTCTCATATGACATCACATGGAACTCACGGATCGTCCTTTTGACCACTATAAACCTGAGTTTTTTGTTTCGTTTGATTGTTTCAGCCTGTAGTCACTACACACTACAGGCCCTGCTTACCTCCTACATCCATTCATTTTACTCAAAACTCTATCAAGGCTTTATGGAAATCTGTGCCTTTAAGTGCCACATTTATTCCCAAAGCCCAGTATTTCAATATGCCTGATATGCAATGCAAAGTCATCTCTTATATTTGTTATTCATGAGTGTCCTGAGCTACATTTCATTATTCATCGAGCAATCCCATTGTCGTCATGTAAATCAGCGAAAGCAACCATATTGGGCTTTTTTCTTATTCCCTAAGCAGACGTGTCATCCTGTCAGTGGGGAAATGGACAAAATAGGATTTGGTAGCCAAGGTGCTTTCTCAAAGGTCAGTCATCAGTCTGTAGTTGGTAAACCATCTGTTAGACAATCGGTCTTCAATTCAAATAAGGTTTAGGCCTGGACAGGACAAGTAAAGTAAAAGAAATGGATCACAACCTTTCATAATCCATGTTTTGTGATTGCTTTGCGCTCAGCCAAATAGTAGAAGGTTAGGATGTACACATATTGTGTCTGTTATGCTTGAAACTATCATTATTTACATTTAAGCATTTAAAGAAAAAACTGACAAATGAAAGTGTAGGCCGAGGCCCGGCTGTTATCAATAAGAGCTGAGCTGAGAAAATGTGGTTTGCCTCAAATAATCCCTTATTGCGTGAATTTATTGTTAGGCCCGCAGCCGCACATTGGAAGCTATTATGACTTGTATTATTTTATCAATGTGGAAATAAAACGATCTTGACTCGCCTCTTATTCATCCGGAAAAAAGGAAATACAATTCTGACAGAGTAACGTCTATGAGCCCATAGCCTTTTTCCAGTAATCAAGTTGTAAAAAAGGGCCCATGAATTTTAAACAACGTTATTGTCCATGAGGGCTTTCTTTAAGGAAATATCTTGAAGAGTTTGGAGGGGGAGGGAAATCTATCACACATGGCTCAGCAGAGCTGCCTTAAATGAATAGGAAGGACCCTGGCCTCATATGAAATTCATGGCAGAAATTACCCACAGGATCAAGCTCATGATCTCCGTTAGAGCATGCAGTGCTCTACTTCTAAACACGGGCTTTATCATATGTCTTGACATCGAATAATTACTTTGTCCCTATTACAATGTCACACCCTTAAAGGATATTGAATATAATTACCCATTTGAAATTTCAATTAAAAGCACTGTCCAGATAATACCTAATGTGTGCTTTAGAAAGGACATTATTTACACACGTCCCCAGTAATTACCTCCTGTAGGTCGTAACAAGCATTACACCTCTCCAAGGATCTCAAGATATACAATGGCATCATGACGCCGCCTTTGTAGCAAGGTGAAGTTTGTTTAGGACACAGTTTAACATCCTAGTTGCTTCAATCAGAACCCACCGCTAATTATTATGCAGTACATATGATACAGTATTCTGATATGAAGACTGGAATATAACTTAGTCTAAAGGCAAATATAATATCATTTACTCAATCTGTGGGAGAGAATTAGGCATCAAGGCCTCTTTGAGGTTCCTTTTTGGAGACCACTTTAGTAAATATTCACATGAACTATAAACGAAACACTAGCATTTATTACAATTAGTTCTATTAGAATCTTGGAGTCCTAGAAATCTCATTTGTTTCCTGTATTGTTAAAAATAAAGGTCCCAAAATGTGTTCTTTGAAATGATGACAAAGAAGAACCAATAAAGATTTCTAAAGGACCTCTCAATGGATGGTTCTTTAACCCTTTTCTCAGGCCCCCTTGTGGCCAATCCACCGGCCGGCTTTACATTGAGTCAGATATTTTGAATTAAAATGATTAGATAAAATATTTTATGGCACTAAGGGAGGAAACTGGGAGGGTGAGAAATCACCTGCTGTGAAAACAATTCACATCTCTCCACAAAGATAGCCATGCTGAGATAAAATTAAAAAACACAACTGCAGCTTTCTTCATGTCACAAAATCGTGCACAACTGCCACAATTAAAAAAGGTTTAAAACACTTTTAAAACACTTTAGAAATGTTTAATTGCCTTCTCACCTATAAGGATGAAAATCCACTTTTGTAAATGAGATGTGTGTGAGTGTAAAGAACCTATTTGTAGTTTACATAACCTCCACATAATGTAAAGTTTTGGCAAAAAATCGTATGTCTGAGACAAGAACCATTTAGGAGCCTTTATTTGAATCTGAAAAGAGGTTAGTGGACTGTATTGTTGTTACCTAGTTTAGTTGTGCCCAGTTCCACCCACTAGCTAGGCTTCCCTCTATCACATGTGAGCATGTTAAGCGGCACCACATTGTTTCGAATCATTGGACAGCTCAACACGCTTGGAGGAGAACACTAAATGCCAATTCTGTTACATCAGCAAATAGCTGCCTGTGTTGGCTAGCATCATGCTGAGTGATGGGGGAGAGTGGTGCCATTCGACCCCCCCAGAGGCCAGCTATGCTGTGGTATCACCAGGAATCGAACTTGCAGTACTCCAACAATAGGGCCAGTATTTATACATGTCCACTGCTTTCACCGAGAATATCTCCCTCTGCTTCCTTCACAGGGCTTTGCCACTTGAGGTGCATGTCTGTAATGCAGGACATGAACAAACCATGATATCATAGATTTCAAATTAATTTTTGTTTTAATTCTGTTCTTATTCAAGTACTCTACTCTCCTAAATGTGGTTCTAAAAATGACCCTCTTTAATTGCATATTCATGTAAAATATAGTTCAAAGACTTCTGTAAGGTTGAGGTCAGAGCTCTGTGCAGGCCACTAGATTTCTGGCATGCCAGTCTTGTCAAACTATGGACGTTGTTTTGAGCACAGGTGCACCGTCATGCAGGAACAGGCAACTGTTGCCGCAAAGTTGGAAGCATATAATTGTCTACAGTTTTTTGTATGCTGTAGCATGAACATTACCCTTCACTAGAACTAAAAAAAAAGCCAGAGATAATTATCCCTCCTCCACCAAACTTTACTGTTAGCACTATACATTCCAGGAGGAAGCATTCTCCTTGCATTCACTGAACCCAACAGACTGCCAGATTGGAAGCATGTTTTATTGTTCCAGAGAACACAATTCCACTGCTCCAGAATCCAGTGGCAGAATGGTTTACACCATTCCAGCCGACACATGGCACTGGGCATAGTAATCTTAAGCTTGTAGGCAGGTCTAGCAGGGCAGATATTTTACAAACTGACTTGTGGCAAAAGTGGCATCCTATAACAGTGCCATGTTTAAAGCCACTGAGTTCTTCAGTATGACCCATTCCACTGCCAGTGTTTTTCTATGGAGATTGCTTGGCTATGTGCT